CTATTTAAAAGAAAAAAAAAAAAAAAAGGGAAAAATATGTATATATTTTAATAATTTAAAAAAAAAAAAATCTGTTTTGTAACAAAACTTATTTTAAATAAACTGTTAAAGCCAGTGCTCCTGCGCTGCGGTTCTTTCCCTGCAGCGAGTTTGAGCTCCCCACAGGGCGGCTGCTCCCTCCCTCCCAGCATCTCCCCCCAGCTGGAAGCCCATTAGATCCCTCCTCTGGCAGCTCTCTCTTGGGGAACCTGCCAGACTCCCTTCAGTAGCAGGAGACTCAGTAAGCCCCAGCGCCACAGCATCTCATTCCACCCAGCGACTGCTCTTGCTCCAGAGCCAGAGAGCAGAGCACAATGCTCCCCACTCTCCCCAAAGCTGGACCATGTGTGGAAGGGGTATCGGCAAGGCCAGCGTGGGGTTTCGTGTCCCTGCGGGCCCCACTGCACCCAGGGGGCCGGGCTCCTGCGTCCCAGGCTCCAGCGCCCTGCCAGGAGCAGCTCACAGAACCACCTTGCGCAGAGAGGAGAGCTCCGCGTCGGGCCCCGGAGCAGGACAAGCCGCAAACGATGACTTTGCTCTCTGGGCTGGGAACCACCCAGCAGAGCGAAACCTGCCCCGGGGTTTCTGCCAGCTCTGCCAGCCGCCTGGCCAGGGCCCTCTCCCTGACTCGCTCACCGCAGCCTCCCAGCAGGACAGGGGAGAACAGCTGGCTTGCCACTGGGACGCGCAGGGAACACAGCCCCGCTTTCCCTGGGCGCTCCCAGCCAGGAGGTGTGCCAAGGTGAACAGTACTTCAAAAGATTCAGGCATTTAACACAACTTTCTTAAAAAAAGTTACAAATCTTTTAATAAAATTCCTTATAAGTTACAGTTTCCCAGAGAACAGGCTGCAGTGTTTCAGATGGGAGACACGCTGGGAGGAGCAGGGGAAGCACCAACAGGAACCTCTTTCCCCACAGGAAAGAAGAGAGGGACAGAAAGGTTCTGACAGACATTTATTGGGAAAAAACCCCCTCTAACACGGATCCAGCAGCTGTAGAAAGACATTAGTCCATGCCCCCCTCTTCCTCCACCCTCCCGAATCCTTACCCCGGCAGGCAAACACACACAAGTCCTGTCCGAGTCACAGATTTGAACAGATCCCGGTGGACCTCAGCTCCCAGCAACAGTCTGAAGACGTCGATCGTCCACAGCCCAGGGCACCAGCAGGGATTTCCGAGCGGCCAAGCACCAGCCTCCTCTTAACGCAGGTCCTTGGGCGCCGGGCTCACGTCCGATGAAGCTGGAGGAGTGCATCCCACCAGGGAAAGGCCAGCATGCAGAGACAGAGCAGCCAGGAGCTTGATGCCAAAAGGAAGAGCCGAGATGAAGCTGCTTCCCTGCCGCGGCCTTGCGGGGCCCCTCCGTCAGCCAGGTCCTCTCCACCGCATCCCTCCGCTCGCGTCCCCCGTCCAGCCCGCAAGGCGCCAGGGCCGGGCAGGCGACCGCCCAGCGAGACTCCGCTTCCCTGTCGTGCTGCCGGTGGAAGACGGACACGGGGAGAGAGGCGAAATCCAGCCAGGCCAGGAGCAGAGGGAAGCTTGGCCACCTGTGTGCCCGTGAGGAGGTGGCGGCTGTCACTCCAGGACAGCCATCAGGAGATACAGTTCCCGAAAGGCACTACCGTGGCGGCCGCTGAGCCCAGACTTGTTCTTGACAATGTTGCTGATGTTTTTCAGCTGCTTGTAGCACAGCTTGCATTTATGGAGCCTGCAAAAACCAGACAGCAGGCACAGCGTGAATCCTCAGCTGCTGAAAGAGCTGCGCTTGTTCCCGCAGTGCCAAAGGCACAGCTCAAGCAGGAGAGCCTGGGAGAGGCTGAAAGGCGAGCACGGCTCTGCAGAAACACCACGGATTCAGCCCACGTCCTGATGACACAGGGGAATGGCATCCACACCAGCTCTTTCGCTCCTCTCTCCCCCTCTGGCAGCACAGTCCAGGGAGGAAGGAGGTGCTAGTTTTGGAGGGTCAGTTCTCAGGGCAGAGCTATCCTGTGAACAAACTGGAAATCCAGGGCCTGGCTGACAACTGCTGTGTCTCATGAGGTAGAGCGTGAAGCCACAGGGTGGTTTCACTCCTGACAGACTCACACTTCATTTAGCTATGATTCAGCACACAGTGACAGAGAGAAAAGCAGTCCCTGGTCTTTTTCTCGGAGCAGGAGGGTTTGGTATTTGCAGACAAAACGAAAGGCAAGCCTGGTCTAGTATCAAAGTTCGATGGCGAGGAGCAAAGCTCACCCGCGAGAAAGGCTGGTTCAAAAAGGGAGCAAGCGGAGGTGAGTAAGTGCCTTACCTTTCCTCTCTGCTGATGTCCACTCCTACAGAAGGTGGTGCAGCGAGGATGTCTGTGATCAGTGGCAGGAACCTCTGGAGAATGAGTTTCAGGGAGGTGCAGCCAGTCTGCACATAACTGAAAGCCAAACAGAGAATCGGGTCCCGCTTGAATTTCACTTCCGTCCTCACAGCACACGGCCCTCACTCACCTCCAGTCACTGGGGGCAATCCACCCAGACCAGCACCCCACCACTGCCCGTAACCTGGTGAGGAGAGCAACAGCCAGGAACTAACACAGTACTGGTTCGAGACAAGACTGTCGAAGCGAGCCCTTTCGAAAGGTCTGAGCACACACCCTGCTCAGCGGGACCTTCCTGCCCCAAGGGCAGAGGTGTCCTGCCCAGGGGACTTGGCAGGAGCCTCTCACCCAGGAGGAAGGGCAGAAACTCCATCTTACGAGAGAGGCTGCATTTTTTTGCCACCGAACAACAGGGTTCAAAGAAATCTTCCAAGCGACCCCAAGGCTGTTGTGAGACCTCATTCCCCTCGTCCCAGGTCGACAGCTTCACTCCCACCAGATTGTTCACCATTGACTTGACCCCTCCTGGCTGCCCGAGCTGCCTTCAGCCCAACGCACCAACGCCGAATCTCCATGTCCTGCTCTTCCCGCCCATGCATACTTTCCACGTCTTTCCCCCCACACACTTGGCAACTCCACTGCTCTTTTCCAGGCGCTGTATCGGCATCACACTGTATCTGCTGTGATTTTTCAGGATTTTCTTTCAGCTACAAAATACCCAGGGGAGCTCTCCCACGAATATCCACACCTTCTCCCCCAAGCACACAGTGTTCTCCGGGCCTCACCTTTCATATTTACTTTGGAGTAGTTTCTCTATCTGTGGTAGGACTACAGTACACAAATCCAGCTTCCAGAGAGACCTGAAAAGAAGAGGACGCCTTCTGAGATTGGAGACTGAGGCTTTACGGGGCTGAGTCGACACAAATAAGGCTTTCTGGCAAAAAAGTCCCGGCAGCAGCACCCAAGTTTACCGAGCAAGCTCACTGACTCCCCCCTGTGATAGAAAGTGGCAGGTTCTGACGGATTTCCTCCACTCGGCAGAATCGCCTTGTGAAGCCCTAAGACTCCGACTGCAAGCCATCACCTGCCTACAGAAAAGGACCCCCACGACTCCAGCAGTTACTGGCACTACAGACCCGAAGAGCTGACCACAAGCCCACGCGTTTCGGGCTGCGGCAGCCCACTGGACAGGAGGCAGGCAGAACGCCACGCTCCCAAGGCTCAGCCCGATGGCCCTCGGGCACCCCAGGGGCTGCCCCCACACAGCACTCACGCTTTTTGGTTGACAATGTTCAGGAGGTCCACAACAACAGAGAGATCATTGATGGCCACTGCAGAGTCCACAGAGTTCTGAAAGAGAAGGGGAAGAAGAAGTTGTCTATTGCAAAGCTCAGACTGGTTAGACTAATGCAATCAGCACCAAGTGCTGCTTTTCAAAAAGCAAGGCAGAGGAAACATGGAGCTGGCCAGGGAAGAGAAGATAACTCTTGCATGAGAAAGTTTCTCCATGTTTCTTAGTGACCGCTCAACCGCAGGTGGGACACAGCAGCACTCTGCGGTGCACCCTGGGGAGGAAAGCTGCGAGACCCTACGTTTGGGGTACTAGAGGCAGCCAAGAGAGCTGCTCCCCCCACCCCGAGCCTCCGGCACCTCCGCGTCCTTGCCTTGATGTCCCCAGTGCTCCACACTGCCCGCACGGTGTCCAGGTTCTTGTGGCGGCTGGTGAGCACCACGCACATGGTCTCGTGGCCCTTCCTGATCTGGGACATGGCTTCCTCATCCACAAGCTCCGCCTGGCTTTGGTTTTTCACAGCCTGAAAGCACAGACACCAGTGGAGGAGCAGTAGCAGAGCAGGACAGCACAGAAGGGCAGGAGCTTTTTCTGGCTGAGGTGAGAGCTCATTTTGGCGCACAGAGCGCCAGTAAATACTGGCTTCCTTGCAGATTGTTTCATAAACATTTTGAAATGGAAATGCTCAATTTGTCCCAATTTCGGCTGCTTCTCTTTTGCCTTTTCTACTGCATCAATCACAAACATGTTTGAAGCTTTGGAAAAACTCTCAAAACTGAAAAAATTAAAAGTAAGCTTTCAAACCCAGTATGTCTTAATCAAGAAATCTCTTCACGAAAACGCTGTTTTTTTATGTGAAGTGTTCATCTGAAATCAACAATTTTTATTACAAAGCATAAATCTTGCACAATTTATTACAACTCTGTTTTCTTGT